ACTTACCCTATACATCCCATATCCCAGTAGGACAAGCAAGAGAATCCCAACTATGATACTGACAGCATATATCCAAGATGCTACTTTAATTGGTGGTGGTGCTCCAGCAAGAACTAGTTGAGTTTTTGCCTTAAAAAAGGAATAGAACACAAACATTTTTCACAGAGAAGTGATGCACGAGCAATGGTTTATTTACTGTTCAATTATATATTATCATACAATAAAAATAAGTAAATTTATTTGTTGGTTTCTTGTGTTTGGGGATGATAAAAATCACTCTGGTGTTTTTTATTTACATCTTTTATATTTGACTATTATGCTTCAATTTGATAAGATATAAAACTGCTCATTGTTGGTCATAGCTTCAAGGTATCACCCGACCCACCATTTTCTAGAGAAAGGAATAGTTGAACAAACTCTTGGACTAGAAAAAGCCTTTAAGCCTAACTTTTAGTTTTAAATTTTGTTAGTACAAGTATTAGAAACTTACTTTGTGCTTTAGGACATTAGGTAGTGCAACTAGCTTATTCTATTTTACAGAAATATACAATATTTTTTTTGCAGTTATATCTGAACTCAAAACTTAATTCTTACAGAGGAAGTGTAGTCTGGTGGTATATTTGGGTCATAACCTGCTGGATCCGGAATCCAAACCTTTGCCTTTGATTCTATTATTATGACATCTTTTCTTCCCTGTAACCAACACATGATCCATGTAAGTTAAAAATACACATCTAGGGTTAGATAGCACTTGTTAACATAATTTCAGTGACACATAAAGTCTAGACAAAAATAAAGACTGTCTTGTGCAAAGTAAATTCAGGAAGTGGATGTCCAGTTTATGTGCCACAAAGTGCAAGACTGATAGGTTTGGTAACCAAAATATTTATAAAAAAATAATAATAATGTAAAAAATTCATTGATAAGTTTAAGAATAGAGTATTGCTTTTGGTTTAGTTTAGAAAGGAAGACCTAAATATATCAAATGTTGTACACTTGTACATTTACAAACATTAAATTTGTAATTCTCGAAGTTGACTAGTAATTACAGAAAATTTCATTACGAAAACTAAGGGATTAATATTTGACTTTTCTGAGGTATTTCAAATTATGGTATAAGACTGGTAATAATTTTTAACCACATCTTTATATCCTGGAGTTTCAAATAACCTTTTATGCTAACACATTAAAACAAAATACAATCACAAAACACCTGCATATACTAGTGTTATCAGCTGACCTGTCGAGTTTTAGTAATGGACGTCATGAGATATACAAGGTGTGCAGTTGAAACGTGTTATTATAAACCTAAATAGGGCCAATAAAGAAAAATTTGTAAAATTACTACGAGTCTTATTGTGATGCATTATCACTCAGATTACTGACAGATAGATCATGCTTTGCCAGTGTAGGCAGTTAAAATATAATTATAACACTAGAGAGATGTTAATCTGTAAGGTGATTTATTCAACAACATTTGGAGTCTAATCCCTTCATCAGGTGGAAGGACTTAGGTTTCTTTTCATTCTAAATAACTCTTTTATGTTAACACATCAAACAAAATACATTTGACAAATACAAGTGTAATTTACATACAGTAGCTAAAACATGCCTAGTTTTATTATTGGAATTTCATTCACATCTGAAAGTGACTGCTTATTTCTAGAATTAATTATCACATCTGAAAGTGACTGCTTATTTCGAGAATTAATTACCATATCTGAAAGTGACTGCTTATTTCGAGAATTAATTATCACATCTGAAAGTGACTGCTTATTTCAAGAATTAATTATCACATCTGAAAGTGACTGCTTATTTCGAGAATTAATTACCATATCTGAAAGTGACTGCTTATTTCAAAAATTAATTATCACATCTGAAAGTGACTGCTTATTTCAAAAATTAATTATCACATCTGAAAGTGACTGCTTATTTCAAGAATTAATTATCACATCTGAAAGTGACTGCTTATTTCGAAGAATTAATTACATATCTGAAAGTGACTGCTTATTTCAAGAATTAATTATCACATCTGAAAGTGACTGCTTA